TTTAAAAACTTAGTCATCAAACAAAGGGTGGGAAAGGGGGGCAGTTATGGAATCTTTAGGATGTAGAACCTACCCAGAAGGAAGCAGGTCACTGGAAGGCAGGCCTTAGAGGTTATAGCTCAGACCTACATCCAGCCAGCCTTTTTTTTAAATATATAATTTATTTTTATTTTTTGTGCATTGGTGTTTTGCCTGAACGTATGTCTGTGTGAGTGTGTCAGAGTCCCTGGAAGTGGAGTTACAGGCAGTTGTGAACCACTATGTAGTGTTGTTGTTTGTATTTTACTCTTTTGCGGAACCCACCACCCAGCTCCCAAATAAATACACACAGAGACTCATCAACGCCCAGCCTCAGCTTGGCTTGTTTCTTGTCAGCTTTTTGTTTGGCTTTGGTTTGGTTTGGTTTGGGTTTTTCAAGACAGACTTTCTCTGATTAGCCCTGGCTGTCCTGGAACTTGCTCTGCAGACCAGGCTGGTCTTGATCTCAGAGATCTGCCTGCTTTTCCCTCCCAAGTCCTGGGATTAAAGGTATGCACAGCCACACACGGTAGTTTCTTCTTTTAAAAAAAAATTAGGTGAATGGGCATTTTGCCTGCAAGTCCTGCTATACCACACATGTGTGCAGTGCCCCTGGAGGCCAGAAGAGGGCAAAAGATTCCTTGGGCTCAGAGTTACAGAAGATTTGTAGCCAACATGTTGATGCTGAGAATTAATCCCCCAATTTGTGGGAGAGCAGTCAGTGCTCACAATGGTTGAGCAATCTCTACAGCTTCCCTTAAGTTGTTTCTTGTTTGTTATTTAGTCAGGACAACTTGAAAAGTAACGAATAATATAGATTTCAAATATCAGATGCTGCTGTCTTAGAGGATAGGCAATGTGTTCATGACCAATGCCAATCATGGCCATACCTCTGCCAGTAGACAGAGATGGGCAAGAAGATGACATTGCCTTTTGTGGAGGTAGGAAGAAAAACACCAAGGCATTCACAGAAGACGCTTATGACCATGTGACCTCAGAGAGGCAGGAAGAAAACCCGAGCTGGAACTAGCATCCAGACACCCACTTCTGATCTTCAAGCTGTGCTTCCTTAACTACACAGAGGATGGTTCTTAGTACTGGGGGTCTCTCCAGACACTTCAAGGCTGCTGCGATACTGCTCTTTGGGTAATGGTTTCTATACGGAAAAAGATAGGGCTCAAAATGCTAAAGTTTTGTTTCTGCTTTGCCAACCTGGCTAAATAACTCCTTCAGAGATATCTAGAACCAGAAAACCAGCAACTCCTTCCACAGCTCACAAGCCTCATCTCAAACAGGCTAGCACGCACTGGTACCCAAAGCCTATCTTTCTTGTGTCAGGGCAGTGCTTCAAGAAGGTTGGGTGAGAATCTGTGACCTTCAGAAATCTATCAGATGGCTCCTCTCCAGGGAGAACTGCACAAACTGCAGATAAACAAGGCCACTCAGCAGTGAGTGACTTCTCTAGCTGCCGCAGCACCCCCAAGCTTAGAGTACCTGCTGGACATTTACAGTCTGAGAAAGTGAGGCTCAGGAGTGAGACCTGGGTCACATGGCTAGCAATGGTGAGTAAAGGAGCAGGGACCCAGCCAGGCCTGTTCAACCCTAAAGCCTCTCCCATGTGGTGGGATAACCTTTGTACACTGTGAAGATGTGTCTTTGCCAAGGTGCCTTCTGACTGGCTTAATAAAAAGCTGACCGGCCAATAGCTAAGGCAAGAGAGGATAGGTGGGACTTCCAGGCAGAGAGAGGAACAGGGAGGAGTGAGTCTAGTCACTGGCAGAGAATTAGTGAGATGCAGACAGACTAAGTCAGAGATACAGAATAAAGGAGAGGTAGAAAAAAAAAGCCATGTAGATTAACAAAAGCAGCTTAAGCTGAGTTATAAGAGCTAGTCGGGGACAAGCTGAAGCTAAAGAACAAGCTTTCATAATTACTAAGAAGTCTCTGTGTCATTATTTGTGGGCTGGTGGTCCTGACAAAAAAGTACAACTACACTCTCCCGTGTATCCACTTTCACTGCCAAAGAGAATCAACCATTCATCAGCACTCTGGGGAATCCAAACCAGTGTGCTGGCTGTCTTTATAGCCCGAGGCTAGCATCTAGTCCAGACCAGAACAGCTCATTTCCTCCCTCATACAAACACAGGTGCCAGGGCTGCTATTCAGGCAAATCCCCCTGTTCTCCCTGACCTTCCAGAACATTCAGGCACTCAGCCTGCTCAGTCTAAGGACACAGGAGCCCTCAGGCAGAGCCTGCTCCTCTGGGTCAAGTGGAGCCGGTGTTTTTCTTCTGAGAAATCATAGACTACATTGCAGAGGGGCCTCCTGCCTTCCATAGCACGGGGCTGCCTGCAGCAGTCTCTCCCATTCTCCATAATGGCCCAGCAAGGGAGAAAGGGAGGCGGGAGCAGAACCAAGAAAGGGGAAAGAAATGATGAAAAGCAAAGAGTCGGGGGTATGAGAAGAGGGAGATGTGGTGGGAAAAGGAAAGGAAGGGAAAGGAGGAGAGGGGAGGGGAAGGAAAGAAAGGGAAGGGAAGAGAAGAGAAAGGAAGGGAAGGGAAGGGAAGGGAAGGGAAAGGAAAGGAAGAAACAAGGGAAGGGAAGGGAAGGAAAGAGAGAAGAGGAGAGGAGAGAAGAGAGGAGAGGGGAGGAGAGGGGAGGGAAGGGGAGAGGAGAGGAGAGGAGAGGAGAGGAGAGGAGAGGAGAGAAGAGAAGAGAAGAGAAGAGAAGAGAAGAGAAGAGAGGAGAAAAAAAGGCTAGAGATGGGTTAGTTGTTGGAAGCCCTGGCTGGGGCCAGAGAGATGTCTCAGTGGTTAAGAGAACTGGCTGCTCTTCCAGAGGTCCTGAGTTCAATTCCCAGCAGTCACATGGTGGCTTACAACCATCTCTAATGAGATCTGGTGCCCTCTTCTGGTAGGCAGAACACTGTGTACATAATAAATAACTAAATAAATCTTTTAAAAAAGAGAGAGAGAGAGACCCAGGCTCAATTTCCAATGCCCACATGATGGCTCACAACCATCTCCAGCTCCAGTCCCAAGTGATCTTTCTGGCCTCTGTGGACACCAAGCAGGTATATGCTACACAGACACACACAAACCATCTACACACATGTAGTAGTATTTTTAAAGGGGGCAAAAGGGTAGGAAGGAACTCAAGCACCTGCCATCCCAGCACACAGGAGACAGGATTGTGATCTTGAGTCCCGAGCCAGCCTGAGTTGCATGGTAGAACTCTGACTCCGAACAAAACAAAGAAAATGGAGTCTGATGCCGGCTGCTTGGGTCTGAAACCTAGCTTCCCCTCCCGGACATAGCCTAAATTCTGCATCAGAAAATTGGGGACATGAATTCCGGGCTGTTGGGTGGTGCCTGCGAGAATCGTAGCAAGAGTAAACAGCCTGTTAAATTTTTATTAACGTCGTGATTACCATCACTCTCCCGACATTATACTAGACTCTTCTATCGGACTGATATTTGAAAATTTAAACAAAACAGGTGTCTAGCTGAAGGCTGACGATAGGGAGATCTGGCTGGGAGACTGTCTTCTGATTTGGGAGTTTCTCTGCCAGCTCCAAGACAGCTCCCCACGTAAGATGATGAGTGTGATTAATTGCAATCAGCTCCTCTCCCCTTAATGAAGGAAGCTGGATGTCACCCTGAGGCGTCTGTGTAAGCTGATGCAGTTACCCATTGTGTCCACGTAGTGTCGCTATCGATCACACTTGGATTTCTGCAGCCAGGTTGGTTTATACTGGGTCACTGGAATTTAGCACCAGACTCCCAGGTAAAGCAGAAATGTTGGCAGGCAGCTGGGGATTCTTCAACCACACCCTTTGGAACCTGTTTTTACACTACACTGTGTGGGCAGAAGGGGTGGGGTTGGGGAGAAGTGATTTGATCAAGATGATTGGGCACAAAACTGGAAGAGTGTCATGGTCTCCTGTCTCCCAGTAAGTGTACCAACTCCATCTGTGTGTAAGAAGCCTTGGGTTGATATGGGCGCTTTCTGGATGGGGCCAGGGTGACACGAAGGGCCCCCTGTTTCTTTCCTTGAAGCCTAGCTTTACAGGGTCGAGGCAGATCTCCTAGCTCCTAACTGCCTCATGGATGAACGGTGGGAATGATGAACTCTGGCTCATCATGAAACTTGCAAGATTTCAGGAAACCTTCCCTTCCCTAAATGATCCAGCCTTGATTTGCTATAGAGGATTCTGTTCACTGGCCTCCCCAGACAACGCACTCCTGGGAAAGAGAGGATGTTAGGAGCCAATATTCATCTTTATCTCTCCAGGATGATCATGGTCACCCAGAGCCGACACTTCCGTGAACCAGTGGGCTTTCTCTACCTGAGTGTCCCCAGCCATACCCGAATGGATGCTCAGGAATCCAGGAGCTCAGAAGAATCAGTTCCCATCCTTCCCTCCCTTCCTTCCAGCCTTCTAGAAGGGACCAGCATGGCTGTGCCCTAGGGCCTTGCTTTTCCTCACACAGCATAGAGGGGCGGGAGGCAGCAATTACAATTCTGTCGCTCTTTATTTTGCCACAACGATGCCAGTTTTCACTTCAGCAGTGGAGATGGGGGTCCCACACCCTCCCACATGTCCCTGGGCTCCAGGTTGGCAGGAGCAAAGTTACCACAGCGTGGGTCAGAGTTCCTAGCCCTCTGAAGCCAGCATCATCTGCATAAACAAACAATAAGGTGGAAAGCCCACCTTTTCCTGCTGGGGGCAAAGGGCTTGGCAGAGGAGAGAAGGAAGGAGGTGGAGAGAGAGGGAGGCTACAGCCTTCTCTGCAGCCACTAGTCAGCAGGGGGCTTCTGGAAGCAGCCAGCCCCTCCCTTCAACCCAGTTGTCTAAGTGACAGAGGGAGAAAAGGGGAATTTTCGAGAGTGTTGTGATGATTGACATATATATGCATATTTTTTGAGAACGGTTGGGTTGGGGATGAGCACAGGAAAAAGTACAACCCGTCTGGAGTTTGATTTATTTTTATTGCTCTTTAAAACCATGCAAATAATTGATATTCATTGAAAAAAAACAACAACAGGAAACACAGATAAGCCAAAAGAAAACAACGAAAATCAGCTATTAACACGTTGGCAGATATCCATCTCATAAAGACTCCTTTTGTTTCATTAATAAAACGGTGTCATGCTGTTATACAGCCTGATAGCCTCCCTTGCTTTTTCCTTCTGTGTGTGCTTGAGTACGTCTGAAGACAGAGGTCAGCCTCAGATATTACCCTCAGGAATACCAGGCACCTTGATTTTTCTGAGGCACAGTCTCTCACAGGGACCCGGAGCTCACCAATTAAACGAGGCTGGCTGTCAGTAAGCCCCAGGGATCCACCTGTGTCCGGGTCCCCGGTATTGGGATTGCACATGCACAAGGCCACTCCAGGCCCTCTCGGGAGCACGGGGTGTCTGCTAGGGAAGAAGCAGGCGTTAGTGTTTGTACAACCAGAGCTTTACCACCACTCAGCCTTTGACCCACATTTTTTTTTCTTAAGATTTATTTTTAGAGCCGGGTAGTGGTGGTGCAAGCTTTTAATCCCAGCACTCGGGAGGCAGAGGCAGATGGATTTCTATGAGTTTGAGGCCAGCCTGGTCTACAAGAGCTAGTTCCAGGATAGGCTCCAAAGCTACAGAGAATCCCTGTCTTGAAAAACCAAAAATAAATAAATAAATAAATAAATAAGATTTATTTTTGGGAGGCTGGAGAAATGGCTCAGCGATTAAGAGCATTGGCTGCCCTTCCAGAGGACCCAGGTTCAATTCCCAGCACCCACATAGCAGCAGTTCACAACTGTAACTCCAGTTCAATTCCAGGGACCCTGGCATCTTCAGACAGACATATGTGCAGGCAAAACACCGATGCACATAAAATAAAAATAAATACATCTTAAAAAAAGAAAAGGATTATGTTTGGCTTGTTGGTGGTGGCATACACCTTTAATCTTAGCATTCTGGAGGCAGAGGCAGGCAGATCTCTGTGAGTTCGAGGCCAGCCTGGTCTACAGAGCAAGTTTCAGGACAACCAAGGATACACAGAGAAATCCTGTCTCGAAAACACAAAACAAAACAAAAAATATTTTCGTTCTGTGTGTTTGAGTGTTTTGCTGGCATGTATGTGTAGGCCTGATGTCCACAAAAAAACAGAAGAAGGCATCAGATCCCCTAGAACTAGAGTTACGAATGGTTGTGAGCCTCCATGTGGGTGCTAGGAACTGAACCCAGGTCCTCTACAGGAGCAGCCAGTGCTCTTAACCACTGAGCCATCTCTCCAGCCCCTAACCTGATTTTATTTTTGATGGAATAAGATATAGGACATCTTTTCAGGACAACGGATAGATGTACTTTATATATTGACATGACTAGTACCACATGAGCTAGACATGGTGGTTTATGCACGTAGTCCCAGCGACTAGGTAGAAAGGTTGTTTGAATTTAGGAAACTGGGTCAACATATAAATGCCCCTTTTGCTGTGGTTTGTTTTATTTTCTGAGATAGGGTCTTATGGGCACTGGAGAGATGGCCCAACCACCTTAGAAGAACTTGTTCAGAGATCCATCTGCCTCTGTGCACACCCCCCCCCCAAGTACCAGGATTAAAGGTCTGAACAACCACACCCTGCTACGGTCTAGAGACTCAGAATTGATCCCCAGAAACCATGTGACAGCCCATAACTATCTGAAACTCTACACCCAGGGGATGCTATACCTTCCTCAGGTCTCCAAAGGCACCAGGCAGGCATATAGTGCACAGACATATACATTCAGAGGCAAAACATCCACACACATTGAAAAATAAAATGTAGGGGCTGGAGAGATGGCTCAGAGGTTAAGAGCACTGACTGTTCTTCCAGAGGTTCTGAGTTCAATTCCCAGCAACCACATGATGGCTCACAACCATCTGTAACGAGATCTGGTGCCCTCTTCTGGCCTGCAGGGACACATGCAAGTAGAATGCTGTATACATAATTAGTAAATAAATCTAAAAAAAAAGAAAAAGAAAAGAAAAAAGAAAAAGAAAATGTATTCCAATATTGTTTAGAGGAGATGCGGTCTCAGGTAGCTCAGGCTGGCCTTGAACTCATGTGTAGCTGAGAATGAACTTGACCTGATCCTCCCACTTCTTCTTTATGCTCCCCTGAGGATCGAACCCCGAGCTTTCATGCATGCTAGGCAAGTAAGTACTCAACTCTACCAGATAAGCTCCTCCCCAGCACTGAAGGAACCCTGTCTTAATACAATCATTCAGTTGGGCATAGTGGCACACGCCTTTAATCCCAGCACTAGGGAGGCAAAGGCAGGCAGATCTCAGTGAGTTCGCAGCCATCCTGGTCTACAGAGTGAGTTCCAGAACAGTTGAATCTACACAAAGAAACCCTGTTTCAAAAACTCGAATAAATAAATACAATCACTCACTCCATGAGTCTCTGCTCCGCAGTGGAGATTTCCTGGGCACCTGTACCGGAGCTGAGGAGAGACATCAGACTGTGGGGACCTGATTTTACTCCCCCTTCATCCGCTGGCCTCTTGTACCAGACATAGAGCTGTTCCAAGACAAAGATACAAGATCCCAACAGACCAAACCTGAGTTCCCCTTGACCTCAGAGGCAGGATACGGGCTGGCAGGGTTGCGGGGAAGGGTGCTGGGCACAGGGCAAAGTCACACTGGAGGGCTAATGCAGGCTTACCTGGAAATCCTACTAGCTGAGGGCTGGCTACGGGAGAGAAATGGTTTCTTACAGTGATAGAGTTCTGGGATCAGATAGCATGCTGGCTTTGTCACCTACCAGCTGGGACAACTGAACAAATGACCCAGCCTCATATTATATGTGTAAAACTAATGAGAGCTACTAATCATGCTGGCATCAGTGTAACGATTCAATGGGAAAATCTGCAGATGATGAAACACATGGACGGTAGCTGCCTCTGCACCCACGGTGATGGGCTGCGTTACCACCGTGGGATGCACTGTGTTACCACCGCTGCGGTGCTCCGGCCCCGCCCATGGATCTACGGCTGCCCACCACATCTCCCTCTTCTCATACCCCCGACTCTTTGCTTTTCATCATTTCTTTCCCCTTTCTTGATTCTACTCCCGCCTCCCTTTCTCCCTTGCTGGGCCATTATGGAGAATGGGAGAGACTGCTGCAGGCAGCCCCGTGCTATGGAAGGCAGGAGGCCCCTCTGCAATGTAGTCTATGATTTCTCAGAAGAAAAACACCGGCTCCACTTGACCCAGAGGAACAGGCTCTGCCTGAGGGCTCCTGTGTCCCTAGACTGAGCAGGCTGGCTGAGTGCCTGAATGTTCTGGAAGGTCAGGGAGGACAGGGGCGTTTGCCTGAATAGCAGCTCTGGCACCTGTGTTTGTGTGTGTTGGCGGGGGGGGGGGGGGGGGGCTGTGCCCAGCTGGAGCCACTAGTCTGGGACTAGGAGACGGTTTGATAGCCCCTGGCTACAAAGACAGCTTGGCCCCTGGACCAGGCCTGACCCTAGTAGCCAGACCTATTCATGAGGAGAGAGGCTCCTTCAAAGACAGAGGGACTACCCTTGTGCAGGGGACCGGAGATGGAGAGCGAGCAAGAGTGAAGCCGTAAGTTCTCCAGAAAGGTCACCGCAGGGCCCCCATTACCAGCCGTCTTAAGCTCAGGATGAGATTTTTCTCATACAGTTTTATCTACTCCCTGGACTGCCTCCAGCACGCGAGCCACTGACACGCTGAGGTCTTTACAATCGATTTCCTGGAAACGGCCACTCAGTCAGCAGTCACGTGGGACGTGTGTGTGCTACTGAGACTTGTATGGCTGAGGGCTGAGGAAACAAGAGATCCCTAAGCCACCCTTCCACATCGTGGCAGCGTCCACCAAGAAGGGCGGGCACGCATTTCTGCCCACCGGCTTCACCAGAGGAAGACTATTCACATGCACGCAGAGAGCCCGGGCAACATGCTCCCTGGGGGATTGTTGGTGTGGTGACAATCAGAGACACCTCAGCTGTCCGTCAGGCAGGGCTGTCACATTCCGAGAGTGGGTGGTGGCCCCTGGAATCGGGTAGACCTGCCATTTACTACAAAAGCTGCCTCATGCTCCCCGAGGGAGAGCAGGGGCGGAGGAGAAGCTACCGAACCAGCTGTCAGTGCTATAGCCACACGTGGACTGTTTATGCAGAAAGCTAAGAAAAATCTAGCAAGGCTACTTCCCCCGAGAGGAAGTCCAGCGTGGACTGTTCCAAGCTAGCAACTGCAGAGCAATCCGGTCAGCCATTTGTGTAAAACCACCATGAAACAAAGAACTTGACCCCATCCATATGCGAGCATGTGTGTGTTCTCTATGTAAACACCTGGAAAGTCTGGCGTGGTACATGTGTGCGTACGGTTATTGCCAGGGACAATGGTGACACTGGTCAGGAACAGGAATGAAAGAAACTGCTTTCCTGTTGCTGCTGCTGCTGTTTCTTATTATTTATTTGCTTATTTATTTTGGAACAGACCTGACTCTGTAGCAGAGGCTGGCCTCAAACTCATGGTCCTCCCCCTGCCTCAGATTCCTGGGTACTAAGATTACAGGTTTGAACCATCAGCTCACTTTTTTTTCTCTGTATTTTTGTTTCCAAAACAAAGAGCGGAGAAAGCTGGAGCACTGCCTCTTCTGTTGGTTCTGTTTGTTGCCTGATTGCTTCCCCAGGCCTGCACTTCTGGGAAGATGTGTGTCTCTCTCCCAAGTCCCTCAGCTTCCACTAGGCAAGGTGGAATCAACATCAGAATGCACCCGAATCAACATCAGAAGGCCACTGCCACACTGGAGGGGGACAATGTTGAACTTCTGCTCCAAGTCCAATAGTGCCTGTGTAGAGGCGGCCCTCACAGAGGGAGAGCACTTCCCTGGGGACCTCCAGGAGGCATTGGTGAGGAACCCAACAAAGCGGGAATAGAATGACTTCAAACTCAGCTGCTTTTTCTGGCCCCCCATTCCCACCGATCCCTAGAAGGGTGGGAAGGGGTAAGAATAGCTTTCTTCCTGCCTTCATGTTGGCGGTCGGCCCATTGCCAGGCCTAAGCCAGAGCCAACACTCTGGCTTCTGGCTGGAGCCAAACCTGCCTCTAATGGAGTCACAAACAGTCCCCAGTGCTAGGCCAAGACCCCAAAAGTATTTATCTTGCCTGGCACTGCATTACTTAGCCCGTCTTGCCGTGCTGGGCACAGGGCCTATTGCCCTCCAGGGCTCTCTGTTCTCAGAGAGGCCCTCTGGCCTGGAGACTCATGTGGCTGCCAGGACTATGATGGGTCTGGTTTCAATTTCCAGGGAGTCTTTGCTTCCTCTTTCCTTGTTCTAGAGGGAAGAACAGGGACCAGGGACAAAACAAATTGGTCACAGGCCTATCCCACACCAAGAGAGCAGCTAGGCTCTGGGGACATTAGCTCATTCACAACTAATGCCCATGTCGCCCTAAATACACCGTCACAAAGAGGAGTGAGAGGAGTGAGATGGCCACGCAACCTCTACAGAGCTAGTTCTAGGACAGCCAGAGGTACAGAAGAGGAACCTTGTCTCCAAAAAGCAAACTAAGTACACAGCAACAATAATAACAATAATAGTGATAATAAGACACTCAGAACTATCATACTTGTCCCTCTGGAACACCTGTGCCTATATCACCCCCCGTCTTGATGTGCTTCCAGCAGAGATAATGATCAATGCACGCTGTGGACAGAAGGACAGGAGGGAGGACCTGAAGACCAACTGCTTTCGGAGCAGACACACAAAGGGGACTCACGCAATGTCTCCCCATAGTACGTGTCCCATAAATTCCAGTAGATGTGGGGCCTGGAGGCTGTTTGGTTGTCACCAACACTGGCTTGTTTCTAGGCCAACGATTCTAGGCAGCAGGGGTAGCCACACCTAGTTTGAAGTGTTGAGCCTGGAGACAGTGGCCAGCCTCCCACTACAAGCTCCTTCCTGGCTTCAGTTGCTTATAGCAGCGCCAGCAACTCTTCTATGCAGGATGCTGCCTGCTCTGGGCTACGCATGGTCTGCTACAATCAGGGCTGTCTCTAGAGGAGGGGAGAGGCCACCTCCGGGGACCCTGTGCCCAGAAACTAATCTCTAGCTAAGAGCCAACTGGCTCCTCAGATCCTCAGCGGACTGTAGAGAACAAGGAAGGCTGTCTTTGGGGTCCTTTCTGGGCACTAGGGAAGAAACTTCCCCAGCAACAGGATTCATGATCTGAACTGGAGCTTCCTGGAAACCAAAGGACTGTCACGTCAGGTGACTGGAGACCTCAGGCCTGAAAATTCAACTCAGTGACTTGCTCTTCCTCCAGGGTCCCCTCTGGCCAAGCTTCCTGGTTGAACAATGACTCAGGACAGAACTGCTTCCCACACCTACAGGCCAGTCCTGGTCCAGGCCATCTCAGGCCATTCTGCCCTCACACACCTGTAGGCTTGTAGTAGAGGTGATATGTCCCAAGCAGGGACAAGGGAAGCTGAAGAAAAAGCCAGCTGCCAGGGTCTCCAGGGGGACACTGTCTGTCTGCCTTCCTTCAGGCCCTTCCTGTTCCCCTCTCCCCAGGAGTGCTGGCCCTGATTCGGACCTGGGGTGAAGTTGTGTTTGTGTGGGGGGCAAGACACATGGTCTTTGTACAATCCTGTGTTCTCAGCAGGTTGGGGATGGAGCCTAAGAGTATGAATTCCTTCTTTGATACAGGGTCTCATGTAACAGCCCAGGCTGGCCCCGGGACTCTGGATCCTCCTGCCTATACCTCCTGAATGTTGGGGTAACAAGTCTTTGACACCACACACCTGAGTCTGCCTTTCTAAACAAGTTCCCTTTTGTGGTGCTCCTGTTGCCAACACAGGGGCCAGTGCCATCACTGTCCAGGCACAAAGACTGCACTGTGAAATATTAGTCTCTGCCGTGCGTCATTTCTTTGACAAATGTTTCTCTGGACCCCTGAATAGAATCGAGGAACCCACCAGTACACATTTTCAAGGGAACCATTCTACGCGGGCACTCGCCACGTTTTTTTTGTTTTGCTTTGTTTTTTGGTTTTTTTTTTTTTTTTTTTTTTTTTTTTTTTTTTTTTTTTTCAAGACAGGGTTTCTCTGACTGTCCTGGAACTAGCTCTTGTAGACTAGGCTGGCCTTGAACTCTGCCTCGGCCTTCCAAGTGCTGGGACTAAAGGCGTGCGCCACCACTACCCAGATTACCACGTTTTTCCATGACTATGAATTTGTGAAATTCCTGTCAATCACCTCTCTGTCTGCAGTCTCTTTCATTTACTGATAGCTCCCTGGTGCCTAGCTACGTGCCTGGCACACAGTAGGTCCAACAGATAATTGCTGACTTAACGAATAGATGACCTTTTTGTATAAAACTATTCAGACAATTTATTGTGTTCTGGAGAGCCAGGCCCAGGTCCATGTGTGATAGGTGTATGACCTTGGTTGCTCCCTAAACTTCTCTGGGTGAGTTTACCTGTAAACTCGGAGACACATCCATGAATAATCTGAAAGGTTACATAAGAATCAAATGAGCTAATGTGTCTAGACTGCTTATATTGTTACTGCCACCCGCAGAACACCATCTAAGGTGATGTCATTGTTATCCAAGGGCCCGACAGTGAGTCCCCTCTTACTTTAATCAGACTCTGTTCAGAAACTAGTTTCTAGAGAAGAATTCCCTTTGGACCTGGGATGAGGGAAGTCTTAAGTGGCAAGGGAAGTGACCCAAAATTTATACCAGGGGGATGGATAGCGGCGGACGATGGGCACTGGGGTGAGGGGCATCTGGGTAGGGTATAAGGTGCCACAGCTCTGGCTTGTGACACCTGAGTGGAGCTGGTGCTCCTGGCCAGGCCTCACTGCTACCAGCCAAGGCTCGGAGCTGACTCACAGCCAGGAAGGGAAGTGATTAGCATGCAGGGCAGGTACCACGAGGAAAGCTGTCTCCATGCAACCGGCTCTCTGTGTGTTTCTCTGATTAATGTGGCAGAGAGAACATTGCAGCTTTTTTTTTTCCCCCTGAATGGTCGCCACGTGGAGCCGGAGTCATTAGCATTGCTTCTCCGGCTTGCCATGACCCCGCTGACCACTCTAAGTCGATAAAAAAGAACACGGCTGAGGCAGCTGTAAGGCTCAGGGACCCTACTTGGTGATGTAGCAGCCACGGGAGTCTTTCATGTAAAAGGTTCCTGGGCAGCCCCACCCTTCCATCCTCTCCCATTCCCAAAAAGCATCCCTTAAACTTCTGCTTTGGAACCTGCCGCCTCCTGGGGATGAGAAGGAGGGTGGAGCCACTTTGGTCCTCGGGGTGGGGTCCAGGTGGGGCTCCTGGGCGGTATGAGAGTCCAGCATAAAGGAACAATCGGATGGAAATGGGGTTTGCCTAGGGTAGGGGGCGGGAGCGGGGGTGTACCTGAAGACATGGACCTTCTCCTGGGGACAACAAGTGACTTGTCATCTGGGGTGGAAGGGCCTCTTAGGAATCCACCCTGCAAGTGCAGAGAACAGTGAGGATGCAGGTGCCAGAATCCAGGGCCAGAGACGGTGGCACTGAGTTCTCTCTGCACATTCCTGCACGTGGTCGCTCCCCACCCTGGGAGCACAAAGGACTGGCCAGCTGCCGATGGCGGGAGGACCTCCTCTGCAGTTTGGCCCTAAGCTCTGTGGTGCAGGTTGCTACACTATTATAGACTATTGTTTGAGGATCCGCTCTCCCCAGAAAAGCGCTACCGTCCTTTTCCACTCCTGATCTCTAGTTGTGGGTGGAGGGTCAGACTTGCTTGGAAGAACATGACGGTGGGGACAGCTTTGGCTCTCGCCATCCCCACGTCCCCACCTCGGTGCAGCTGCCAGCTCCCCAGCCCAGCTATGAGCATCCTGCCTGGGAGCGGGGGGGGGGGGGGGGGGGGGGGGGGGGGGGGGGGGGGGGGTGTCTTCCATCCTGCCCTACGGTCTCTCCTAGCCAGGAAGCAGCTCTCTGAAATCTGCCTGGGCTGGGAAGGGAGGAGCAAGAGCGTTAATTGTGGAGCCTGCAGGAGAAGCTGGGAGGAGGCAGCGGAGAGAGAAATCATCTTGTAATGCACCAATTACTGATCAGCTGGGATATAATTGTGGGGCTGCCATGCCGGCTGCTGGAGGTACCAGGCCTCCCTCCCTCTCATTAATCAACGGTAATCCAGAATTACGACCTTTAATGATCTGCAAAGACACTTAGGCACACACGCACACATGCTCTCCCATGGACACAAGTAATTGATAATCAACCATGTAATTGGAGGCAATAATTCTGTCCGGGCCAGATGACAGGCTCCACCCTGCCAGCAGAACAGAGCCCAAATCACGGCCAACCCCTGCAGCCGGTAGCAGTGTTGGGGGAGGAAGGACACCCCTTCTCTTCTTTAGCGGGTTTCCTCCAGTCTTCTCAAGGCGGTAAGAGTATGGCAATCAACTTTTTGCCTTCTGTTATTATATCTCTATATTATTAAAAATTTGCACGTAACTATGTATGGCACAGGAAATTCAAAATACCATTGCAAGACTGTACAGATGTAAAGACTGGAGTTCAGATCCCCAGAACCCACACAGAGGCAGACCTGTAGTCTGTAATCCCAGTACTATTGATAACAGGAAGTGGGGACCCGAGTCACTCTGGAAGCACTGAGGCTCATAGGCCAGCTAGCCTGGTCACAGGGTGCACATTGCGTGCGCACACATACACACACACATACACACACACACACACACGGGGGGGGGGGGTGTAAATAAATAAACAAATAAACAAGATGTCTGCTTCCGAACTGTGCTCAGGCATGGTAGTTTCAACAAGGCTGTAATTCCAGCATCAGAAGGCAGAGTCAGGCTGATCTCTGGATCCCTACACATCTGCACTTAATTAAACTGGGCACATAACCCGCCCCCCTACATCCCAGTGTCTATCTATCTACATCGTATCTCTTCAGGTTTACTCCAGGGGCATCTGTGGCACCCCAACCTGCCCTAACTTTCTCATTATACAGCTATTTCAAATGTCCCTCTTGGAGGGAGGGGGATGCTCACAGAACTCAAAGTCCAAGAACTTGCAAGAAAGTTGCAGGACCTGTGAGGCCCCTGCCCTGCAACTATGGTAAATAAGTGCTGAGGGGTGAGGACTACAGAGCTACTCGCAAGCCTGCGGGGAGCATCCAGAGACATCTTTCCTGAGTCCTCGCCAGCCCGTGCCAGGGGCGATCCAACTGCCTGCAGTCACCCTGTACGCGACCCAAACCAATTCCCTCTGCTCACCAAGCTACAGTTGGCCTGAATTATTTCTTTGGTCTGTCTTCAATGTCACATGTGAGGAGAACAGATGTCTGCCCACATCTCCCCAGGAGGAAGCATGCAACATCTTTATTGTGGGAAGCTGTTGTTTCAGTGGCCTCTAGTTCTGACTTGCATAGGAACCACCAGGCCTTTGGTAAAATGCCAACTCTGGGTCAGAAGGTGGAGGTGGAAGTCCGCCTTCCTCCAGACATCGCCCGGTGACAGTGAGAAATGGTGGTTGAGGTATCTGGTCTTTCCTGCATTCGTAGTAAGGTTTCCCACGGTGCAAGTCCTAAGTAAGCATCTGTAGACTGCAACATGAGACTGTCCTGTTTATAGAGCTCTTGTTCTGGACAGGCTGGGTACAGTGTGGGATCTGCCAGCGACATGGGGCAGTCTCCGAGAAACTGGCAACATGACTGGTAAGTTCCTGTAGGTTCTGAAGAACAAAAGCTGCTCGGGGCAACTCAGGTGATGGGAATGCAGGAAGTCAGGAAACAGCTGTGTTTGCCTTCGAGGAGAAGAGACAGATATGCGCAAGGCCACTGTGCAGCAAGGCATGGGGTAAGATGGATCACTGGGTAGGAAGGCCAGTCAAGACAAAACATGGCATGCGCCTTGTGGTGGGGGCCTCGTAGGCTTCAGCCAGACTAGGAGTAGGCAGAGGACATTTGAGAGCGGCTGGCAATGGTGGTAGTTATGGCCAAAAGCATGTTCTGCAGTTTCAGAAACACATGCCGCTCTTGATCTGTCAAGAGGTAAACTCCAAACTGGGCGATGGTGGTGCATGCCTTTAATCCCAGTACACGGGAGGCAAGGGTTGACAGATCTGTGAATTCCAGACCAGCCTGATCTACAGAGTGAATACCAGCAGGACAGTGGCAGCTACACAGAGAAACCCTGCCTTGAAAAACACAAAACAAGAAAAAGAAGCAAGCAGGCTGAGCCAGCCATGACGAGCAAGCCAGTAAGCAGCACCCCTCCATGGCCTCTGCATCCACTCCTGCCTCTAGGTTCTTGTGCTTGAGTTCCTGTCGGGATTCCTTTCAGTGATGGACTACATACAATGTGGAAGTGTAAGACAAATAAAACCCTTTCTTCCTCAAGTTGAATTTGGTCATGGAGGTTCACCACAGCAATAGAAACCCACAGCGGAGGTGAGACAGGGTCTTCACTAGTTCGCTCTAGTTGTCTGGAAACTCAATACTATCTTCCGTCTTGAACTTCTAGTATTTGAAGTCCGTCTTTCCGTGGTAAGAAATGAATCACTCTAGCTCGCATCTCTAGTTTTTTGCTTTCTTTTTAAACAGTTTTTGAAACGAGATCTCTCTCATGTGGTCCAGCATGGCCTCAGACCTGGGTAGCCAAGGATGACCTCGAACTCCTGATCCTCTTGCCCCACCTCCAAGTACTGGGATTACAAGTGTGTGCCACCATACCTGGTTTTTCTAACCCAAGTCTTTGTACACGGTAGGCAGGCACCCTACCAACTGACTCACATCCCAGCCCCATAGGGAAGATGAATGAGTGTTCACATTAGCCCTAGGGCTTCTGGCCTACGGGTATGGTTGAAAGAGATCCTAGATCCAACTACCTCTGTGTGAGGCCTCCAACTCGACTTTTTGTTGTAGTGTTGTTACTTTACGTTAATTTATGGTATGTTATGTATGTGTGAGTATGCACATCATAGTCTATGTGTGATGTATGTGTGAGTATGTATATGTACATCATACATAGTCTGTATGTGAAGATCAGAGGACAGCTTGGAGGAAGCAGTTTTCATCTTCCATGGGGGTCACAGTGATCAAACTCAGACTTTGGGGCTTGTTGATAATCACCTTCATCCACTGAGCCGTTTTACCAACCCTGAACCTTGTTCTTACTTAGGCTGAGAATCTCTGATCAACAGCCAAGGAGTACCCAGGTTTGAGGGGAAGCATTTTGTTCTTTAGATTTATTTTAATTATTATAAGCTCTATCGACCTTATGCCAGAAGGGATCAGATCCCATCTAACTATAGATGGTTGTGAGCCACCATGTGGGTGCTGAAAATTGAACTTGGGGCCTCTGGAAGAGCAGCCAGTGCTCTTAACCACCGAGCCATCTCTCCAGCTCCAAAACATCTCATTCTTATTTTTGTGTCTATGTGTGTGTCTGTGTGAATATATACCATGTGTGTACAGATGCCCAAAGGGGCCAGAAAACGTTCCTGGAGCTAAAGTGCCAAGTGCTCAGGAGGTAGGGACAGGAAGAACAGAAGTGCAGGGCCATCTGTGGCTACATAGGGATCTGAGGCCAGCCTGGGCTATATGAGACTCTGCTCTAAAAAAGAAAAAGAAGCGGGGCGGTGGTGGCACATGCCTTTAATCCCAGCACTCGGAAGGCAGAGGCAGGCGGATCTCTGGGAGTTTGATGCCAGCCTGGTCTACAAGAGCTAGTTCCGGGACAAGCACCAAAAGCTACAGAGAAACCCTGTCTCGAAAAAAACCAAAAAAAAAAAAAAAAAAGAAAGAAAAAAGAAAAGAAAAAGAAAAAAAAGAAAGAAAAAGAAAAGGAACAAAAGAGAGCGGTCGGTGCTTAAGCTTAAGACTGCTTGCCGCTCTTCCAAAGGAGCTGAGTTTGGTTCCCAGCGCACATTTCAGGAGGCTCACACCATCTGCAAGTCTGGATCCAGGGCACCCACATCCTATGCTTGCCTCTGCAGGCATCTGCGCGCGCACATCCATTTAAAATGATAATTTAAAAAAATTATATGATAATAAAAATTTAAATGATAATTTAAAATAAAATTTAAAAAAAAAATCACTTCTATTGCCTGGTCTGCTTACAGCTGTATTCTGAGCAGTTTCTGTCCAATGAATGAACGTTCAGTCTCGTAGTGACTCCAGAACTACCTGACTCCAAAAATCGGATTTTACCTGCCTCCTGCGTTGCATTCCTCTCAAAGTCTAACGCGGCTGAAGCTGGTGGGTATTCTATGGCTGCTGGTGGACGCTTTGCACCTATTTACCCCACCGCAAACGAATAGTGAGACTTTCGCTCCCGGCCAGCAGGGGGCGTGCACGCATCGTGTTCTAGACCCCCCCTCCCCCCCACCTCCCTAGGATGGGCCAAACTATCTGCCTCCCCTCCTGATGGGGGAACCCATTATTTTTAGAGAGGTTCGGTCTCGACCGTAGACCCTGCTCAAGGTACTTGAAACCCATCCTCTCACTGAATATCTGAGATGTTGATATTACCGTGTTTACAGTGATGATACTCCATACTATTTGTGTTCGTTTTATAAGAGCTACCTGGGTCCAACCCTAGACGCCTCCTTCACCTTTCTCCACCCAGGAGACCTGGGCCAGGGTCCTGGCCGAGAACCACGATTCTCAGAGAGCTGACTCCTGCCCAGTCATGCCCTAGCGGTTCCTGCACGTTCTGGGTTTGTCACCATCCCCCAAACTTCCCAGGTGTTACCTTGAGCAGGCCTGCCAGGTCCTTGTTGCCACCCGCCTGGGGCTCCAGAGGGCACATCCTGCTGGAGTTAGTTCCGGCCACCTGGTACACATTAGCGGTGTGTCCTGGATGCTGGGGAGATGAAGGTCGGCCAGAGGAGAGGTGAAGGGCTTTGGGTTCTCAGGCTGAGACCTTGTCCGTTTGACTAGGAGAGAAAGAAAATTTGTCATAAGGAAATGGCCTTGCCTAAGGCTGCTGTACTGCCGAGGCAGAGGCAAGGTTGGTACCAGGCACTCTTGGAAGTCTGTTTTAGACCTAGTAGATCATGTTCTGGAGGGGTGAGGAATTACTTCCTCCTACCCCCCCCCCCACTCCCACCCGGTCCTGCGCTGCCCGGCTTTAAGTCAAATTCCACCACCAGCTCAGAGCCTTTTCCCTGAGTTCGAGGCATTGCCTCTCTGTTGTTACTTTTTTTTTTTATTTTATCATTATTATTATTATTATTGGTTTTGTTTTTCAAGACAGTTTCTCTGTGTAGCCCTGGCTGGCCTCAAACTCCCAGAGATCCGCCTGCCTCTGCCTCCCAAGTGCTGGGATTAAAAGCGTGCGCCACCACCACCCTGCCTGTAATTATCTCTGTGCTTTCCTATTCTCCTTCTGTTAACTGCCTCATCCCCAACTGAGTTTGGACACCAGAGCTCAAGGAGAGGACTGGCATGCCAAACACCATAATTTGAACAGCCGTGCCTCCTTTTCCCCTCTAGTCTAGACCAGAGATTTGTGGCACTGTTGTTCCACACTCAAAGGTGAAAGACTCTTCCTCCCACTTCATTTCTTGATATCTGGATTTTTTGAGGTGAAAGTAGCCTAAAGATCCTCGCTGAGGCCCTTTCTACTCTTTCTACTCTGATTTTGCTCTTTGTCGCTATATCACCCCCTAGTGGCTAACAGGAGTGTGGCACCTTGAATGAAATACTGTTAGCGCTTGGTGGGAAGAATTGCCATGGGAAACCCACCAGACGGGAATCTGGGACAGACTTCTAAGGTGCCATGCACTTTGAAAAGGCAACCTCAGAGCTCCCGTCCTCCAGGTTCCCTCCTGGCTCGTGCATTGGGTGGGCCACCCTCACCCTAGGGTGATTTGGTTCCACGGCATCCTCTACAAAGTGCCCATTCCCCGTTGCTACGGCTGTGCATAAGACTGTGAAGCCGTGGCGTGGCCACGGTTGAAGACGCTGAGCTCCCGGATCTGAGAAGTAGAGACTGTGGTCAGCCAGCTAAAGGGCGAGCTGTTTCTGGACACACCAGACCCAGAAGCAGACCTCCTAAGGCCGCAGTGATTTGTGGGAGTCTCTGCTTCTCCTCCTACTGTAGGTCAATTTCCAAAAGGAATCTTCTGCAGGAACAATACATCAAATTCCCCTTCATCCTATGGCAGCCATTCCATGCCCCAGGGTGACCAGGGACCACCATGCTTTGAAAGTGGGGCGCCAGCAATTAGGAAGGCTTGTGCCTGGGATGTTTAACTCTGGCCAGGTTTTTTGTTTGTTTGTTTGGTTGGTTGGTTTTTTTTTTTTTTTTTTGCACAGAAAAGAGACTAAATTTTCTCAATTTTTCAAGACAGGGTTTCTCTGTGTAACAGCTCTGGCTGTCCTGGAACTCGCTTTGTAGACCAGGCTGGCCTGGAGCTCAGAGATCTGCCTCTCAAGTGCTGGGTTTGAACTTCATGGTGATTTTGATCTTCCCGGTGCTCTTGAATCTACCTCCCGAGTACTGGAACTACAGGTCCCAGCATGCCTGGCTTACACCTTGCTTGGGCTCCAAGGTAGAGTCCATCATGACAGGTGGGTTCAGGCAGAAGTTGGAGGCAGCTGGTCACAGAGTGTCTGCAGTCAGGAAGAAGCAGAGAACCCAATAAATGCTTCCTAGAAATTAAACCTTCCTAGAAGTACTCTCAGAGACACACCCAGAGAAACGTTTCCATGGTGATTCTAAATCTATCAAGCTGACATGAATATTTTTTTTAAAGATTTATTATGTATACAACATTCTGCCTCCATGTATGCCCGCACGCCAGAAGAGGGCGCCAAATCTCATTACAGATGGTTGTGAGCCACCATATGGTTGCTGGGAATTGAACTCAGGACCTTTTGGAAGAGCAGCCAGTGCTCTTAACCGCTGAGCCATCTCTCCAGCCCAAGCTGACATGAATATTAACTATACTAACCAGAGTGACTCTTAGGGGCTCAGCATGTCTGCCACGTGGGTAATTATTGTTGGAGCCATGCACAGGCAGGAAACTGAAAACCAAAACAGATGGGTTAATGATGTAAAGGCATTTGTTAGGATTTGAACCAAGAGCCAGTTCTTCCTTTTTGTTTTTGTTTTTGTTTTTTGAGACAGGATTTCTTTGTGTAGCTCTGGCTGTCCTGGACCTCACTCTGTAGAAAGGCTGGCTTCGAACCAACCAAGAGATCTGCCTTCCTCTGCCTCCCCAGTGCTTGAATTAAAGGCATGGGCCACCACAGAAGCCGCTCTTTCTACTGTATTCTTTTCTTTCTTTTTTATGATTTTTGAGTAAAATGTTCCAACATTTTGCCGGATCAAAGGAGGGTCTAAATAATACATATATCATTTTACTGATAATAAGACTTTTATATTATAAAAGTTCACATTTATAAACAGCATGTGGTGGTATACACCTGTAAGCCCAGAAGTAAAGGAGGTAGAAGCAGGAGGATCGGAAGTTCAAAGTTATCCTTGGCCTTATAGCAAGTTTGAGGCAAGTATGGAACACAGGAGATTCGAAAACAAAAGTTGAAAATTACCCCAGCAAGCCAGAAGGTTAGTTTTTCCTCCAGACAGAATCTACATAGTCCTGGACGTCCTGGAGCTCATTCTGTAGACCAGGCCAGCCTTGAACCAGGAGATCTGCCTGCCTCTGCCTCCCAAGTGCTGGGGCTAAGAGTGTATACCACCACTACCCAGTGGTACCTGCCTTTAATCCCAGAATTTAGGAAGCAAAGGCAGGAGGATTTCTGTGAGTGTTGACGCCACCCTGGTCGACAGAGCAAGCTCTAGAAGAACCAAAACTAGACAGATCTTTTCTCAAAATAGAAAAGAGAACGAGAGAGAGAGAGAGAGAGAGAGAGAAGAAAAAATACTTTTGATTCATTTATTTGCGTAGTATGTTTTGAGGGCCTTTTAGGTGGACTTGGCAATAGAACGGCATGCCCCAGCCTTGAACCTCAAAGAGTCCCCAGTGAGGGAGTCTCTTTGTGATGTTCATGGATTGCCACTGAAGCACAAAGCCAGGAAATGCTGGAAATCAGTTTCACCAAAAAAAAAAAAAAAAAAAAAAAAAAAAGCCAAACAGCTGAATTTTGAAGGCTGTTTAAAGTCTGCTCAAGGAAGTTAAAGTGGAAAACATTCTTCCAGGCAGAGAGAAGCCACGGAAAGGCAAGGGCGCGAAAGTTTACATAGCACGCAAGGAACAAAGAGGGATTTAATATAGTCAGACAGTAGTGAGGTGGGGGGGGGGGGGAGCAGAAAAGAACTGAAGGCGGTTTCCCACAAGCCCTGTGCTCCGGGCTAAAGGCTTGGTCTTCATCCTGTAGAGCACCTGGAAGACTGTTAAACAGGCAGGCAGGTATCTGCTACGGATGGTTTCTGGACCACTGTAATAAACCCAAGTGAATGGGAGTGGTCTATCGAGGCCAGATACTAACGGGAAAGAACAGGGGGGTGCCCGCCGGGCTTGGCACCAAGTCCTGCGGGAGCCAAAGCCAGGATGCCTGTGCAGGGTCATGAGAAGGTGGTGATGTGCAAGATGACCAGTACCTCAGTCAGTCTACTGGTGCTAAAGCATCTGTGCTTACTGTAGTCTAGTCCTCTACTAGAGGAAAGCTTGCTTTTTTATTTAATTCCTACCGCAAAGAGGTAACAAGGCTTTAGGGTATTTATAGGAAATGGCTGATGATATTCGGCACGTTTACCATAGGAAATCCGCTGAGAACACCTGGTGGTACAGAAGCTTGATAGAAAACGCGTGTCTCGTGAATCAGGACTCAGACCCAGGTCTGTCTGCAGAATTAACGCTGAATTCAGATTTTGCCTACCGCCTACCAGTTGGGCGTTCTGAGATGCATTCCTTAACCATTGAGTCTGTTTTCTTACCTGTAAAATAGAGATGAGTGGTGGTACACGCCTTTAATCCCAGCACTCGGGAGGCAGAGGCAGGTGGAGCTCTGTGAGTTTGAGGCCAGCCTGGGGTACAGAGTGAGTTCCAGAACAGCTTGTCTCAAAAAAAACAAAACTAAACTAAAGAACCTTGATAGTTGTTGGTTGCTAGTCAATGGTTAAACTAACAGAGCAGGTAAGGAGACGCTGCCTGGCAGGAGCCAGGTTCATCAGAAGCCTCTGAAGGTTTTGTCTCTTTGCCCATGAAGCAGGCTGCGTGGTGCATACTCCTTGAAAATGGGACCTCCCTTTCTTCTGTCTTCAATGGGCCCTGCCACCTTGGCACCTGGTGTGTGCACACACTGATATGTAGCCTTTTGGATTAGGCGACGAGCTTTGTGAGTGCCCAAAACTGTGTGTCTGGCCCACCTGCCTCTACGGTGGAGAAGAGGCAGGCCGTCTAAACTCCATGTTTGTCTCGGGGCTTTAGGATGCTCTCAGGTATGTGTGGCAGCATCTGCCCTTTTGCCTGGCTGGGTGCTCTCCCAGGACCTGGTTGCCCCTCTTGCAGGCACTCTATAAAACACGTCTGGCCCTGGATCCAGACAGACTCATAACACTAATGTTGCTTTTCCATTTTCCTGGAAACTTCTATAGCTGCAGCCTGGAAAGCATCCAAAAGTTTCCCCGAACTAAAGATAACAACAACAACAATAAGTTTTTAAACATTTAGAGAGGCGAAGGAAGAGAGACCCTAAGGCAAATGTCCCTGTTGATTACTGCTCAGCCGGACAGATTCCAATGGTAGGGACAGAAAAGGGAGGATGTTTCCAGGACAATTTAAACATTCACATGGCTTCTTTTAAAAAGACAGTTTCAAAACAGTCGACCTCCCTGGGGCAATTTAAAAAAAAAAAAATCTACCCAGAAGGCAAAAGCTTCCCCTATCCCCCCCCCCCCCCCCCCCCCAATCTGGAAAGTTTTCTCAGCAGAGGCCCCAGCACATTCCTGAGTTCTGGCTCAGGGAAGGACTTTCCCAACCTTCCAACAATCTGGGCCCTCGCTCACCCTGCTGACCTACCAAGGGTTCTGCTCGCTCCACCCCCAGCAGCTGCATTCCAGCTGTGGCCTTACGAAACTGCCAGGAATCCTAGGGCTGCGAGGTAAGTGAGGAACGCGCCTCCTGACAGCTGAGGGGCCGGAGGAAGTCTAGAAACCCGGAAGCCCTGGAGCTGACTCTGGCTAGTCTCTACAGCCCACAGGCAGGGTGGGCTGTTGACTTAGGGACAACAGCATTCTAGGAGGTCTTGCAAAGATTATAGGCAGGGTGGTCAGCCTGAATCCCCCCCCCCCAACCCCCCACCTCGTCCTTGGACCACCTGGCAATGCAAAAAGTGAAATTCAAATATTTCTTTGGGAAGATTCAAAAATATTTCCACTTATTCATGAGCTTTAGGTTTTTTTTTTCTACTGCTTTTTCAGATATATTAATTATGTGTATGTGTCCGTGGGTGGGTAGGGGTGTGTGTGTGTGTGTGTGTGCACATGCTGCCAACAGAGGCCAGAGGAGGAAGGCATTCCTTAGACAGCTGTGAGCCATTTGATATGGGTACTAGAACTGAACTCAGATCTGCTCAGAGGTTAAGAGCACACAAACTGTTCTAGGGGACCTGCATTCAATTCCCCGCACCCACATGGCAGCTCACAACTATCTGTAACTCCAGTTCCGGGCATCTGACACCTTCACTCAGATATATATGCAGGCAAAACATCAATGCACATAAAATAAATACATTTTAAAAATAAATAAATATATTATTACTATTATTATTATTATTTAAAAAGCACAACATCTTGCATGAAGCAAGTCTTCTGGGGCTGGGGAATGTAACTCCATGGTAGCCTCTCCCAGCATGCCTGAAGCCCTGGGCTCAATCAATCCTCAACACAACAGAATGCAAACAAAAAGATAAGTCTGTGCAACAACACAGTAAACAGAACCTTAATTTGGAGATTTGCCCCCTTCGGGACTCCCGTGGTGCAAATTTGGAATTCAAAGTCTCAAAGGCTGAGGGAGGAACCTGATCTACAGAGGAAAACCCTATCTCAAAACCTGCAAGATGGTAGGAGTGGTCTCGCTGCGTGTTAGCGTCTGTAGGAAGAGCAAGGTTAGTTAACTGACAGTGAGACTCCAATGAATGATGGGGTGGGGTTTTGCAGCTGTTTTGGGGTCACCCACACTCATGTAAGTATCTTTTACCCATGCCCTCAATGTAAGCCAAATAAATTCATTGCTACACACACACACACACACACACACACACACCCTTAATTTGCCAATGGCTCTGGAGAATTACTCCTGGGAGGTGACAATGACTTTGCCAGAGGCAGAAAAGTGAGTGTCAGTCTCCTTGTAAAAGCCCTGCCCTCCCAAAACTGGTGTCCCTGCCTGTGGGTTCAGTGTTCAGAGGAGGAAGGAGGCCTGGGAGGCTCTCTAGAGTCCTTTACATATTTGGCTGTTGGCCAGCCGGGGCAGAGCTGAGCAAGGGGCCTTTTAGGCAGCTGAGGCCCTCAGCTGCTGTCAGCTCAACTGTCACCAAGTTCCCCTGGTTGGGGTGGCAGGGCAGGGGATGCTGGAGCCCTGATAATATCATCTGGGGCTGCAGAGTAGGGTTAATGGAAGTTGCTTTTCTACTTGGCTGGCTGGCTCCATGCTGGCTGATTAATCTGGATTTCTGAGAGTCTGTGCCTTCTCCCTGGGACTGACGGCCACCCAGACATACAGCAACAGTTAATAGCCATGGGAAAGCTTTGGGAGTCCATCCTCATTTACAGCCATACTACCTTGAATGTGTTCATCTTAGCTAAGCAAGGTTGGGCCTGGTCAGGACAAGGATGAGAGAGACTCCATTCTCCAAAGAGAGGAGCCTCCTGCAGTCTTCCATCCATTCCAGGGCCTGAACGTGAGTCTGAAGAAGAGGTGGCCTCTGTCCCAGGAGACAATCAGGTCAAACAGTGATAGACTGACCTGTGTCTTCTTTCTCCCTCCTGCTGTCATTCCCACTTCCAAATATGCCCCCCTTAGCTCTCCTTGTTCCCTACTCCACTGGTCTGACCAGCCACTTCCTATACTGGTCCCTTCAGAGTACAGTCTACAGGGTTACCCATAGAAGCTGTACTTGCCCCCACCCATGACAGTAACCCCTGAGCCCTTGAGACCCTAGGAGGAAAGCACCGGGAAATCGGAAAACATTCTCCCTTCAGAAAACAATGGCTTCCGGGGCCTGTGCCAGACACACTCACAACCCCCGAAATAGTCTCATTGTTCTCTTGTGCAATATCCAGGAATTTGGTGAAACTCATCATTTTTCAGGTTACCGATAATGCAAGTTTGGAAAGTGAAAGAGGAAGAACGCAGGCTGAGAAAGCTTTTATCCAGCCGCAGAGTCTCTCCAGATGCAAGGTAGGTTGGTTTTTGTTTTTTTGGTTTTTTTTTCTCCAGCAGTCCTTTGGTGGGGTTAAAATTAGCTGGCAGCATTCTGGTCACATGGCAGACAACAAAACAAAAGGGAATTGTTTCCTCAGACGCTCCTGAACTAGTCCCACCGACCTCCTAACCCATGGATTTCTGGGATCTGGCTCCCCACCACCACCCCGGCATAGGAGAGGCCACACCACAGGCTGCCCACAGGGATTGCTCTTGCTGTAGCAGAGAAGAGTGCAGACAGTCCCAAGGCATTTTGGAATCTTGGTGCTTGCCTTCTCTGGGAAGGCACCCTGGGACTCCGGATTGCCATTTACAATTAATTCTTCTCCCAGAAGTCAGCAAATAAGCAAACATCACGAGGACTTGGGAAGGACAACACTGAAGGGTGACCATGGTACCCTTTGCCTTTTGGGACAAGTGGCTTTGGCTGTCAGGATGATAACGTGAAATGAACACGCCCAAGCTATAAGTGACAAGGACTTCAGACAGATTCTTTATCTCTGGACCCTGATGACAGGACAAGTCAGGATCTGCCTCCCATTTAAAGCTATCACCAGCAGCTACGAGTTAAAAATACAGCCTCTGATTCACGCATAGTCAGGAAACCTGGCTGTGCTCAGTACAGAAACACGTCTGTCAACCTGGGAAAGGAATCACCACCACGGATATGCTCTTAGCTTGCCAAAGCTTAGCAGCTGCAAGAGCCAAAAACCCAGCTGCCTGGACCGTCTGGGGAAAGGGGGTTCTGAATCACCTGATTTCTTCCTCAGCTCCAGCATAATTCTAAGCCAGAACCATCTTGAGATGTCTCAAGGGCAGATTGCTCTTTAAAATTATGTTTGAACACTAACCCTTCAATTCTGGATCTGCTAGCAAGGTGAAACAGATGGCTTTTATTGATTATTTATTTGGAAGGCGGTATTCAAGAATCAGAAAATTCCACTGAGATTCAAACACATGACCCTGACCAAAAAAAAAAAAAAAAAAAAAACCACAACAACAACAAAAAACCAATCATGAACAGACACCCAGAGAGTCAAGCTCAAGGCACTGCAGGTTAAGTTCCACCAAATGGGACAGGTCTAGTCTTTTGCCTGTGTGGGCTTCCATGACAGTGTACACAGTAGGAAGGAATACTTAGATTGGCCCCACATTCTGTGGCAGTCTTCCCATGCTTCAAAACAAAAACCGTCTTTGACTCTTACCCCTGCTTGAAACCTCATTAGACAGACAGACAGACGGAAGTACAACCGGCCCCTGTGCCTGGATGCCCAGTATGTAAAATCCTCTTTAAAGATTGTACACCACCCGCCCCGCCCCCAGGGACAGTCTCAAGGTGTTACAAGTACATAAAGGTCTGAAAGCTGATGCCCTGGATAAACAGTTCGCTGGATATATTTAGCAGAAAATATTGAAAACCACAGAGAAAAATATGTCCCCTTTCTGGGATGTTAATGAAGGTTTATGTCTAGGAAGCCTTCAGGAAATAGTGAACAAAAAAGAAATACTGCTCACCTCTTCCACCCCAGCGTAAATAAATCACTAACCCTCCTTGGTTTCCATAGGCCTTGGCTGGGGGATTTAATTTTTTCCCCTATTAAACAGGCCACCCGGAGAGTTGGCATTACAGACCTGAAAATATACCAGATCTTGAACACACTGTTTTGTTTCTGTACATTGAATCAGGCTGTGTTTCAAATGGCAGCTTGTGCAAGATGGGGGGCGGGGGGGAGGCGCGGTGATTATCCGGGCTAGTGCACCCTCACGAGAAGTCACCTGAAATTGCGGCGTAGATGACAGATCTGTTTCACCTTGACTCACCCAATGTCTCGTCTCTGACAGGAACCTATCCTCTATCTTTGCTGCCCAAACTGATGTCACGCTCTAAGGGACTGACTGGATTTGCTAAACTGCAACAAGATACCTTCAAAACCCCCGACTGCCTGCAGTGTGGGGCGGGGACCTGAGAATCAAGGCCAGGACAGGCAACTACTCTCCCTAAGATGGAGGCTGCATGATGTAAGTGGCTGGCTAAAATATCTGGCATGCTTGCAGTTTTAAGTTGCCAGCTAAATATTATTAAAAAGATAGAATACACGCAAACTGTGCAGAATGTAGGGCTGCTGTGTTTACATCCGGGTTTTGATGACTCAAAGCCTTCCACTTGGGCTTGCTGAAAAGCTCTATTAAAAACACAGCTTTCGAAAAGCCTCCGGGGAGCAGAAGGACTCGGGGGTGGGAGAGGGATGATAACACCCCCACCCCACCCCAAAGATGCTGTTCAGCTCTATGCTTCTGGCAAGCATTTAGGACCGGGGAAGTCTTAAGGGGTTAACCTTCTTTCAGTTTGCAAGCCAGAGCCGGGAGGGTTAACCTTTTTCCAGAACATTTATTTCACCATCTCACCGACTAGAAGGAGGAGGGGCTGGCGGGCGGGCGGGCGGGCGGGAGAGCCTGCCGCGTTGAGAGGCTGCGGATCACAAGGCCATTCTGATAGCCTCCTGTCCCCATGGCAACTGCAACGGCATTTATCAGTTCCTTCTGCGCACAGGCACCGCAAATCTGCATTGCACATGGCAGGCTTCCAGCATTTCAAATGAAAGAGCACTTTGAACGGCTGCCAAGTTTGGAAGGAGCAGAACTGTCAGGGCTGCTTAAAGCTGGCAGTTTATACTGGGGAGGTTTTCACTTCCCAGAATCCTCCGGGCTTGGCGAGCTGCCAAGTACTTAGCGGAAGCTAAAAAGTAACTCGCTCCCTCCCCTCCTCTTTCTCCCCCTGCTCACGCTCCCCCCCTCTTCCACACCATTCACCGCAGTGCTCTCAAAATTTTCCACATGTCCTGTGTCACCAGTGCAGACTGTACAATGAGAACCAGAACACCGGCTGCCCACGACCGGGCTTTTCTCAATAACGGGGGTTTAGGGTGGGTTCAGACACGGACACCGGGTTCCCGCTGTACCTGCCATAACCCGGTAACCACTGGATGGCACATAGTGTATGTGCCTTTTATCCTTTAAAAAAAAAAAAGGTACATTAATAAAAACAAAAAGCTCAGAACCAGGGACACCCTAAGTACTGGGTGCGGTAGAGAATGGAGCCGGGGGTGGGGTGGGGAGGACGACGCTGGATGGATGGATGGCTTAGAGCTTCACAGGGTGGGGGAAGTCTTGCAAACAGAATACAAAATGTCCACATCCAGCTTTTCTAAGCCGTGGGGAAGGGGGTTGTTAGTGAGAGCTGAACTGTTCCTGGAGCTTTCTTGCATCTCTCAGATGTCACGATGAAAGCTCAGAAGCCAGAGACGGGGAGGGAATTGGGACGTGGCTTTTCAATGGAAAGTTTACCAGATAACTTTGACCATGCACCACCCATGAGCACCCGGAGCACCCGGGCTTCTACTGGCAGAAAATGGGAACTGGCACAATTTTCACTGTGCTAATTTTTTTTTTCTTTACATGAAAATCTACGCTGAGATCAAGGACTTGGGCTTTATTTTCTGCACAAATAGAACAAAAATTGTCTGCCGCTTAGGCGGTTGGATGGAGTTCAGGAAAACTATGTCTGGCATTAATTCCAAAGTGGAGGTTTTGGTTCAAGTGAGGCCCATTAATTTCAGTAAACTGTTTTCACTAGTCCAGACCCTGCTGTGGGAGGACTATTTATTACCTTTTGCTAACCTGCTGTCTGCTGAGTTGCAAAGCAAAGGGGAGGGGGAATCTGGGGTGGAGATATCTCTATCTTGAATCAAATGGGTTTGCACCTTCCCTTAGGGGGTCATGTTTAATAGAGAATCTTCTATCCCTTGCTTTTCTTTATCAGAGCCTTAAAAAAAATCCATCTTGCAATGAATTACAGAAAAGCAAATCCTATGGAGAGGAATCTGGTGAGAGTGAACAGCCAGCCATCCCTTCCCCAGTTCAGAAAGGCTCCTCCCAGCCGCAGGGATGCTTTCTGTGCCTGTCCCCTCTCCAGGCTGCAGGTCTAGGGCAAAGCCCTGACATGATTCACCCTGACGACTGGGTCTAAATCCACCAAGACAGTCAATTTTGGCATTCATTCTCCCTTAGGAATTTTACTGGCCGTCTTAGAAAAGCACATAAATTACTCCCCCTCCCTCTTTTTTTCCATGCCTTCTCCTTCATCTCCCAGCACTCTCCCCCCCCCCCCAGTCCATCTTGATGTCATTTCAAAGAGAAGGATGAAAAGGAAAAGAAGGGATTTGTCAGGCAGTCCAGTTTGTGAGTGTGTCTTGCTAGGCCCCAACACACACACATACATACACACACACACACACACACACACACACAGAGAGAGAGAGAGAGAGAGAGAGAGAGAGAGAGAGAGAGAGAGAGAGACTCACACCCCAGCTGAGGCTGTTAATAAGAATTAAAAGCAAATCAGTACTATTAAAGCATCAGATATGAAGTTGAAAGAGGAGGGGGACTTGGAGAAAGAGAGGGGGTGGGTGGGGTGGGGGAGAGGGAGTGGGAATGAAATACAATTCGGGCCTTTAGGCTGAGAAGGAAAGAGGTGTCAGTAGCCCCATTTGGTCAGCTTGTCAAATGTCAAATGTCAAATTCATTGGTCTTTCCTTTTTAACTACCCCCCTCTCTCGCTGCCCCGCCCCGACAGTCAAGTTTTGTGAGGTTCCCAAGTGTGATTAATCTTTGGCAGAGGCCAGAAACAGGAGTAGGCTTCTTGGCTGCCCGTTCTGATAAACAATCTGTTCTTGGGAAGAGTAGGTGAAGGGGGCTGCTGGGAGGTAATCTGCGGGCATGGGAGTGGGGGTAGGCGTGAGTGGAGGGGGGGACCACCGGGAGGCCCGCCTTCCCGGAAAAATGCAAGTGCCCCTCCTCCCGGACCAGTGGTTTAGGGGTGGGTCAGGTTTCCTGCCCTTAAGAATGTGAGTAGACAGTGGATCCTTTCTTGCTGCCAGTCCCCAATGCCCAGGGCACGTCACTGGGCCACCGAAGGCTCAAAGGAGGGGGAGGAGAGTGAAACCCGTGCTCCCCACCGTTTCGGACCATCTGCAAAGCTACACAACCCCATCCCCCAGCGAGTGTGCGCAGAACCTTGCTTGCGAGAAAGGGAAACCGAGGCAGTGTTGTTAGAGAAAGCCGAGTCGTGGGGGGCGGGGGGGAGGAGCGCTGTAGCGCTTATTATAAAGCATAACGGGGAAAAACAGACTCAGGGCAAAACAAAAGGATCCCACTATTTGCTGGGATCGAAACTCCGGAGGCAAGAAGGCAGGCTGTGGATGTTGCGGCGGGGATATTGTTTGAGCAACCAGGCAGAAATCGGCAATGTGTAAAAGTGGGAAGGGGCAGAGAGTGGGCGGAAAGCAAAGCGGTGCCTAGAAGGCTGCGCAGGCAGGGCTGGGAAATGTCACCAGGAGAGCGCAATGGCTCCGAATAAAAGATGAATGATAGGCTACCTTTTGGAAAACGAATGTAAAAATAAGAAGAAAGGTGAGAGGTCCGGCCTCTTCCTCACCACTTGCCTTCCAGCTTCAACACACAGGCAGCTCTGGTCTGCCCTGCATCCAAGAAGCCAGGGCCAGGCTCGCTTCCCTTTGGATTTAATTACATGAAAATACTGAATAAAAACTTGTAATTACACCTTCAGTCCCCGCCACTTAGGTCCTGCACACTTCCTGCCTAGTTTTGTTTTCTAAAGAGGAGACCATTGCCTCTTTCTTTCCAAATTGGTCAAAACAACAAAAAAAAAGTAAGCGCACCAAATAAATCCTTAACAACTTTGAGTTCTCATGGTCATCCCTGCCCTAACATACACACACACACACACACACACACACACACACACACACACCAGGAATTGGGGAGGGGAAATCCTCTTCTCTTTAGGAGAGCCTAGAAGGAAGGACCCTACTGTGCTATTGTCTTGCTCCAGCTCCTTGGGCGAGAAGCAGTCCTTGCTTTGTCTGTCACTCCAACCCGGGAGTTGCTAAGCTGGTCACCCAGAGGACACTTTCCAAGGAAAAGACAGTGTAGCATCAGCTAGCTTTCCTCTTTCCCCTGGAAGGGTTCAGTCTGCACGCGATCTAGGTCAGCACTGGCCTCTTTTACAATGCTCCAGGCTCCAGCCTTACAGACAGGATCTCAGAGGGAGGTTCTGGAGGAAGAACATGATTTAAGATGGACATCTGACGGGTGAGAAACCAAAGCTCAAGAGAAGAAACAGATGGCCTCAGAGTCAGTTATGCTGCTGCAGGGAGCCTTGAACAAGCACCGCTGCCTCTTAAGGCTTCGGGGGCTGACTGCATCAGGACACTAGGACACCTAGGAGAAAATGGAAGCTTCTCGATTCCGCGCCGGATTCATTCTGGCTTATTTCATCTTCCCATTCCCAGCACTGAGACAGAAAGTGCTAAGAACAGGGCCTGACCAGTCCACAGCCATTGTGGAAGTTGAGGCAGAAGGACTACAAGTTCAAAACCTGTCTGGGCTACAGGATGAGTTCAAGGCTAGGCTAGACAACTTCTCAGGACCTAGTATAAAAACAGCAAAGGAGATAGAGCACTGTTTGGCACGCACCAGGCCCTAGGTTCTACCCTCAGCTAGGGGCAGGTGAGTGCTCTCTAGGTAAATTATTAAATAACTGAGCGAAAGGCAGGGGGCTAATATGCTGAAACCCTGCAGGCCGTGGGCCAGGCAAGTTTCAGCACACATAGGTAAGAACAAAGGGGATATAACTTCCAGTTCTACAAGGAGGCCTTTTCCACAACAAAAATCCACGCTCCTTATTTTGCTCCTTCCCCTACACGATTCACTGGACTCTCCAGCCTTTTCTCCTTTGGTGCTGGGGCTCCAACTCAGGGCCTTGCTGGTGCTAGGTACCACTTCACCACCCAGCTGTATTCTTTAGTCCCAGATGCGTACATCTTGCAAATGTCTTGAGGGCAGCCGGAGATGCTTCTCCATCCTTTGGCGAGGACGAGCACTTCAGATTTTCCTCTGTCACCTCTGCCTGGGCCAGGGCACAGAAAACCAAAGAGGTAAAAAGAAAGGTGTTTGGGGATTGCCAGGAAGCAGTGGCTACTCAGTTTTGGTCAAAGCTCAATAGTGATTGATTTTTAACTCCCAAACAACCACTGCGGATTTCGAGCCAACCTTGCAGCTACTGAGACAGTTGGGGCATTAACCCATAAGTTCCTGTGGGCAGAGGGTTTTACCTTCTTGTTTCGGTTTCTTAGAAGCATCTGGGACCCCTAAAGGACTAGCAGGCCCTTAAGGTGAAAGTGAATGCCAGTTTTACGGCACATGAAGGATGCTTTTTTGCTAACTCTGGACCACCTCTGGCCCAGCTTTCCTCACCTGCACAAAAGGCCGATGAAAGAAACACCTACCTCATAGGCTTGTGTGAGGCTTGGTGACATAATGTCTGGAAATGCATTTTGGAGCCCTTGACAAATGTCAGTTATTGTTAATAATCTCTTACGTTTTATTAAACATATTATAATGCGATGTCATTCACACAGACCAATGAAGCAGGCAAAGGAAGTGGAGTAATTATTTCAGTTTTACTCAGAACCTGATGTGAAAATGATTTGCTCAAGGTCAGCCAAGTCCAAGGTGAACAGCATAATATAAATATGTACCCAGCACCCGCCTCTCCTCTCTCTCTCTCTCTCTCTCTCTCTCTCTCTCTCTCTCTCTCTCTCTCTCCTGAGTTACAGGTTGAACTACTCAGCACAGGCAAGTAAAAATATTTGAAGTCCTGGCCCAAGGACCCATTCAAAACAAGAAGTGATGGCTGCCCTATACCAATCTGGATCCAAGAATGGCCAGGACCTGGAAGGAGCTTCCTGCTCGTGACCACACCTTCTGGCAGCCCCCGAGCAGTAAAGTGGAAATCCCCTGATTATTGTAGACGGGGAGGGAACCTCCCACTGAGGCCCAGGCTCGCAGATGGAGTGGAGGGTTGGAGATGGTACACCTGTGGTCTTTACAGCCACCGGCCACCTTGACGACGACGTCCCGCCTACTCCAAGCCTCCCTTCCACTCCAGCTCCCTTGTTGTGGGCTTGGATATTTGTACGAACTGAATCAATGAATAGCACCCTTGTCTGGCTCTTTTACCCCTTCTTTTCCCTCTAGGCCCGTTTCCCTGGACAGCTCATTCCAGGTTTTTTTTTTTTGGGGGGGGGGGGGCTGGAGGAGGAGGAGTAAAATACACACCAGCTATTGCTGAGAGCAGTGCGGGGCTCCCCCATGCTCTGGCACGCTGGCTGGCAAGAAGAGAATGCCGGGAGGCAGGAACTAGACACGACTACCCCCAACTCCCGCGCCTTTCTTCTCCTCCCTGGTCTCCGCCCCTCCAGGAAGAAAACAGCCAGAGACCGGATCGTTCTTTCCGCCACTGTGCCAACACCAACCACTATGCCCGCCCTTCCCTTGCCTTCTCCCCAGTTTCGCTCAAAGCACCCGCCTTGCCCATGCGCCCGCGGCTGGGCAGGTCTTGGCGGGCGGTGTAGGTTCAGCTCCCCAGGGCTTCTCGGCGAATCACGTTGTTCCTGGGATTTCATGCTCCAGTGGCTCTTGTGTAACCCTATGCCCTGGCCTAACTCAATATTTTTTTTAATACCAGGATTAGCCCTTTAGGGAAAGGCAAATACTTCCGCCACAGAACCGACCGGGGAATAAATGTGTAAATCACCCAGCAGCCTCCAGCCCCCACAGCCCCTTTGCTCGGGTCTGCAAGGCTCAGTAACCCGCCACACTCCTGGGGTTCCTGGTGCTAGGCGATTCCAGGCCTCCACAAGGCCAAAGGAGGGCCCAACCCACACGTTTGTTTTCATCTACTCTTAAGCGGCTCCCACAAGCCAAAGAACAGGGCCCTGCTTACTGTGTGTTACCAAAAAAGGCTTTTCTCTCTGCGGAGCGCTTGGCGGCGCGCGTTGCAGCGGGGTGACGCGAGGTTCAGCCGCGGCCTGGAGAGCCAGCAGGCTAAGAGCACCCCTGCTCCCCCTCCCGCCCCGTTCCATTTCGATTCCAAATTGTGGGGGCTGTTGAGGGCGGGCAGGAGTCGCCTAAGATCCTGGCAACCTTTACACCCCTAACACTGGGCAATGCTGCTCATGGAAGGCCAAATGGAAAGCCGACCTTTTGCTCCAGTTTAGAACAGTGTTCCCTGAAGATGCTGTCTCAGCTAGCTGAGGAGAAAGACGGCTATTAAGATGGGACTTCGCTTTGGGGAGTTAGGGTTAGCATTTCGTACCTTGTTCTCTGCAGCTAGTGCACCCCTGAACATAGCACCAGAGTTCTGTATCTCTTCTCCTCCATTTCTCACCTCCCTGGATCCGTTCTTCCCAAGAGATCACAGTATTGCTGCAGGAGCAGAGGAACGGAGGATCTCCAAACATTGGAGCTCTCACCTTCCCAATCACCGATGCATCCCCAAATAGGGCCATCTGAGACAAGCAGTTAAGAAGCAATGTATCACCTTATTACCCAGAACGATGGTGATTCTTTTTCAGGGGGTATAAAGAGTTGTGATTTTTTTTCCAGTTTTTTTTTATTGATTTTTTTATTGAGCTCTAGAGTTGTGATTTTTAAATAAAAGGATTGTGAGACTGTGGACTGTAATGGAATTCTGTTTAAATGCATACTGATGTCCAGCTCACTATGTACAGAGATACCTTATTTGCACGCGCAGGTGTGTGTGTGTGTATCTGTGTCTTTAAAGTGAAGACAGACAAGGAGATGGTATACTGAATTGTGATATGGAACTCAACTTGTTTTTTCTACCTGCCTGGCTGGAGGGTTATGGCTAAGCTGCTATTTCTAAAGTATTTTTGTTTTTCAAGACAGAGTTGCTCTGTGTAGCCCTGACTGTCCTGGAACTCGCTCTGTAGACCAGGCTGGTCTCAAACTCATAGAGATCTGTCTGCCTCTGCCTCCCTAGCGCTGGGATTAAAAGTGTGTGCTACTACCACTCAGTGTATTTTTGATTTAATAAAGAGAAAAATAAATAATGTAAACAAATGGGTCATTCAGTCAAGCCAAAGTTCATGGTCCCAGGCTGGTCGGGATTATTGGGCCCTGTGTTTTGACTCATTCAAGGGGAGCTGTGGCCAGTCCAAGGGTGAGGAAGCACTCCCTGAGAGGCTCTGTGCACAAGACTCTGCTCCAAGCCAGCCAATCAGGCAAAGCTTATTATTGGCCTGCAGCACACAGTGAGCTCGCTGTTTTTTGCAAAACCAGAAACTGGGTTGCTCTGAGATGAAAGAGAGGCTCCCTATGGGCGCTTCTTCCTCCCTTTCTCCTTATCCTTACAAGCTCTACTTTCCTTTTGCATTTGAAGCCCAGAACTAAGCATGCTGGGAAATGCTGACTAGCTTCGGGAGATCAAATGTCAAAATAAAAGTATTTCTTGTTGCTTCAGCTGACTGTAACCGTGATCATAAATAATGATCAGAATGCCTTACGCACTAGAACACTTTCACAGGGAAGCCGGGGACAGTCATTATCGATACTAGTATCCAACACTGGCAGTTTTCTGGGAATGCACGTATGTGCTCTCCACACTGTATGGTGCATTTATGCTTCACGCTGCAGCTGGGATAGCTTCAGAGCTTCTCTATGAGGAAGAATTCAGGAGTACAGTCTGGAGGGGGATGCTAGGGGCTTATGATGAAGGTGCATTTGCACAGCACTTTATATACAAGTGGTCTGTGACAAACAGTGGGGTGCTAATGGAAAATGTGAGCACCCTACACCATCCCTGGGAGCCTTAGCTTGTGCGCACCACCTTCAAATAAAATTTCCCGCATTTAGATACCAGGCCAGCTGCAGCGGCAGCTGTAGACAAGATATTTCAATCTCCTTATTTTTCCTGGTCTGTAAAATGGAACAGAACACACTTTGTGGAAAACACTAAGGGTTTAGTAACGTAAATACCGCTTTGTGCTCTGTCTCCACATTATAATGAAAATAATACTAAAGTTGATGAAAAGGAACCATTTGCCCAGTACCTATCCCAGTGCCACTGAGAGTCGCTTGTCATGAAGACAAGAAACAAACTGAAAGCTTCAACACCCCATCAAGCTGGGGGAGATAATTCTATTTTGCAGAAGAAAAAAAAAAGATTATATAAATAGAGCTCAGGGTTACAAAGCCAGTAGTAATAGTGAGGAAATTCCAACCCTATAGGCAGAATCCAGCCCTATCAAAATTACCTCCCCTCCACCAGCCTTCCATAGGGATTATCTTAATTTACATAAGAAAAAAGCAAACCTAATAAATAGAACAGGCTGAAATGCTCCAGCCAGAGCTAAGACCAACCCTATCTGTTTCTACAGTGAGTCCTAATGATGAGCAGTGATCTTACAAGGTAGAGGAAGTCATGACCTCCCAGAGCGTACTGGGGCAGTGTGGAATTAAATCACAGCACGCAGAAGGAACTTTCAAAACTGTCTATGCTTTATTTATGTGTCTAAGGATTGAGTTCGGGGCCTCGGTCATCCTGAACAAACGCACCCTCGCTGAGCTACCGCCCCCACTCTAGCCGTCAGTATTATTAAAAGCTGCCCCCTTTCATGAAACCCAGAAAAACCACTCACCTGTTTGGCAAATTCTTCACTCCCCATTTCCTGCCCTCAACTATGGCTGTATACAGTCCGTTGACTCTTTTCCTTAAAGGGCTCAGAGAAGTACATAGTCAAATAAATTTTATGGAGTTCGGCCAAGGGGAGGGGTGGCTCATTTAGCGCCATCCTTGCAACTCCGATTGATTCCCAGGCCCAGTCGCAAAAACAAATCTAAAAGGTAATTTCTGGAAGACTGGAGAAGGGCTAATTCTGCAGGTGTTTGGTGGCAAGGAATGGAACATTAATAGAGGAAGGAAGCTCTCACTGCAGATGAAATAGGTAATACCTTATATGAAATTTAAAGTGAAACTCGTCAAACAGGGCATTTAATTTTACTGCCTGGGGTTTGGTGGGGTAGGGAATGGGAATCGGAAGCAACACTCGTGGCCCTTAAACGTTTTTTTACTTGGGAAAACCAGGCAGGAAAAGGAAAGGGTCATCGTCTGTTACACACACACACACACCAGCCCAGGACTTGCAGCATTAGCTCGCCGGGCTCAGCTGTGGTGTGTACACACACACACACACACACACACACACACACACACACACGACCAAGTGGGGGAGGGGGGAGGGCGGAGGCGCGGAGGAGGGGCCGACAGGGAGGAATCTGGGCATCCTGCCGCGCATGCGCCTTTCGCGAGCAACAAGTGGGCTCCACAGACAGAGGAAGTGTAAAGGGGGGTTGGGGGACTGGTGCAGAGCATGGCGGTGACGTCAGCGCTCCGCCCGGGCGGCATCCCGCGCGGCCAAGCCGGGGACAGCGCGAGCCGCAGCCCGAGCAGGAGCGCTGAGACGCGCCTCCGGAACGTAGAGTAACAATCACAACCCCACATTCCAGGCGAGCGCGAGCGGGAAGGGATGCGACCCGGGTGGAGGCGCCGAGCGAGCGCCCTGCAGCCAACGTGAGCGCCGCCAGCTTCTGTGGCCGGAGAACTGGCCAGGACAGGGGGGGCGGTGGGAGCCTGCGTGCGTGCGCTCTTCTCCTCTGCTCTCGTGTGTCTTGGAAACGGTGGCCGCGGCTGCTCCCTCCGGCGCGCAAACCCAGGCGCAGCCAGCGCAACGGCCGACGCTGTGGAGGGGAAACTCTCCTCTTGGCAGCCACCTCCTCACCCGGCCTTCCCGGGGAATCAGCGGCTTCAGCAAGATTGGAGCTGGGCACCGGGTGGCACAACCCTCTAACCCTCTCCCCAGGGCGCCTGGCGTAGAGAGGACTCAGATCGTAGGGGGACCCCCCCCCTTCACGCTTCCACGCTTCAATCACTCCGGGGAGGGGGCCAAGAGGCCACTGGCAGCCAGCCCCGGACACCCTAGCCCCCTCCCCCCAGGCCCGGAGCTTCCAGCCCTGATCCGCCGCACCAGGAAGAAGGCTCCCGGTGCTCTTCTCCGGACCAGACAGCCGCAGTAGGAGGTGGGAGCGAGAAGCGTGCAGAACCCGTCGGCCACCCTGACGGTGGAGACCCCGCAGAGAGTCGCTGAACCAGCAGTGGAGACTCGCTCTCCCTCCAGCCCCTGGGGCAGAACTTTCTCGCCTCCCCCCGCCCCCTCCCCCGCAGCCGGACTCCTTCCCCAGCCACTCAGTCCTCCCGGTGGAGAAGGCGCCACAGAGACAGCCCGGGAGGGGGCCTACCTTCCCCGAGGCTGGCATCATGTCGGCGGCGCAGGTGTCCTCGTCCCGAAGACAGTCTTGCTACCTGTGCGACCTGCCTCGCATGCCCTGGGCCATGATCTGGGACTTCTCCGAACCTGTCTGCCGTGGTTGCGTCAATTACGAAGGCGCCGACCGCATAGAATTCGTGATCGAGACTGCCCGCCAGCTCAAGCGGGCGCACGGCTGCTTCCAAGACGGCCGCTCCCCCGGGCCGCCGCCGCCCGTCGGGGTCAAGACAGTGGCCTTGTCCGCCAAGGAAGCGGCGGCGGCAGCTGCCGCCGCGCAACAACAGCAACAGCAGCAGCAACAACAACAACAGCAGCAGCAGCAGCAGCAGCAGCTCAACCACGTCGATGGCTCCACCAAGCCTGCGGTGTTGGCCGCCCCGTCTGGCCTGGAACGCTACGGCCTGAGCGCAGCGGCCGCCGCCGCTGCCGCCGCCGCGGTAGAACAACGTAGCCGGTTCGAGTATCCGCCACCCCCGGTGAGTCTGGGGAGCAGCAGCCACGCCGCCCGGCTGCCCAACGGCCTGGGAGGTCCTAACGGCTTCCCTAAGCCCACACCAGAGGAGGGCCCCCCGGAGCTGAACCGCCAGAGCCCCAACTCATCCTCAGCGGCAACATCGGTGGCTTCTCGGCGTGGGACACATAGTGGGCTGGTGACCGGTCTGCCCAACCCGGGGGGTGGCGGGGGACCCCAGCTCACGGTGCCCCCAAACCTATTGCCGCAAACGCTGCTTAATGGCCCGGCCAGTGCCGCGGTGCTGCCTCCGCCCCACGGCTTGGGGGGCAGCAGAGGACCCCCGACTCCAGCGCCTCCCGGTGCTCCCGGGGGGCCCGCCTGTCTCGGGGCTGCCCCGGGCGTGTCGGCCACTGTATCCTCCGCGTCGTCTTCGACCTCTTCGACAGTGGCAGAGGTGGGCGTGGGTGCTGGTGGCAAGAGGCCTGGTTCGGTGTCGAGCACGGACCAGGAACGTGAGCTGAAGGAGAAGCAGCGCAACGCTGAGGCCTTGGCCGAGCTGAGCGAGAGCCTGCGCAACCGTGCGGAGGAGTGGGCCAACAAGCCCAAGATGGTCCGTGACACACTGCTCACGCTGGCTGGCTGCACGCCCTACGAGGTGCGCTTCAAGAAGGACCACTCGTTGCTGGGTCGTGTCTTTGCCTTCGACGCTGTCTCCAAGCCCGGCATGGACTACGAGCTAAAGCTGTTCATTGAGTATCCCACGGGCTCCGGCAACGTGTACTCCAGCGCGTCCGGGGTGGCCAAACAGATGTACCAGGATTGCATGAAAGACTTTGGCCGTGGTCTGTCCTCTGGCTTCAAATACCTGGAGTATGAGAAGAAGCATGGTTCAGGCGACTGGCGCCTACTTGGGGACCTGCTGCCTGAGGCTGTGCGCTTCTTCAAGGAGGGCGTGCCCGGCGCGGACATGCTGCCCCAGCCCTATCTAGATGCCAGCTGTCCCATGTTACCCACTGCGCTGGTGAGTCTCAGCCGCGCCCCCAGTGCACCTCCAGGAACTGGAGCCTTGCCACCAGCGGCGCCCACCGGTCGGGGTGCAGCCTCCAGCTTGCGCAAAAGGAAGGCATCCCCGGAGCCTCCGGACTCAGCTGAAGGTGCACTGAAGCTCGGCGAGGAGCAGCAGAGGCAGCAGTGGATGGCAAACCAGAGCGAGGCGCTGAAGCTCACTATGTCCGCGGGGGGCTTTGCGGCGCCAGGGCACGCAGCAGGGGGACCACCCCCACCCCCTCCACCTCTGGGACCTCATTCCAATCGGACCACCCCGCCAGAGTCAGCCCCCCAGAACGGTCCGTCCCCCATGGCCGCGCTCATGTCAGTGGCAGACACTCTGGGCACAGCGCATTCGCCCAAGGACGGCAGTTCAGTGCACTCTACCACTGCATCCGCTAGGCGAAACAGTAGCAGCCCGGTGTCGCCCGCCTCCGTGCCAGGGCAGCGTCGCCTGGCATCACGCAATGGGGACCTGAATTTACAGGTGGCGCCCCCGCCGCCTAGCGCCCACCCAGGCATGGACCAAGTGCACCCCCAAAACATTCCGGATTCCCCTATGGCCAACAGCGGACCCCTCTGCTGTACCATTTGCCACGAACGTTTGGAGGACACTCATTTCGTTCAGTGCCCGTCTGTCCCTAGCCACAAATTTTGTTTCCCTTGTTCTAGAGAGAGTATCAAAGCCCAGGGGGCTACAGGTGAGGTGTATTGCCCCAGCGGAGAGAAATGCCCCCTAGTCGGGTCTAATGTACCTTGGGCCTTCATGCAGGGCGAAATTGCAACTATCTTAGCTGGGGATGTTAAAGTGAAAAAAGAGAGAGACCCTTGAACCGCAGGGCAGCGACCCCTTTGGCCCTAGACCACCTCCTCTTCAATCTGGAGGGCCCTTCCCCCCACCTGCCTCCATTTCCCTTCCCACCAAGATGTAGAATTGTGAATATAACTGCAAAAAGTTAGTCTTATGTATAGACATTATTTTCGTCGTATGTTTCTATATTTTGAAACAGGTATGTAACTTCTTCATTTGAAGGATAAGCTGGTTGTGTTAAGCAGTATAATATTGATTGGATCATTTGCATCGTATTCGTTAGCATTTATTTGGTGGCAGAATGTTTGCCTAGGTACAGCGTCAATAGCCCTTAGCAACAACTGCTGCCGGTGTGTATTTTTGTAAATGTTATGCACTCTGAAAGGAAAAACACACAAAAGAAAAAGATTTTTTTGTTGTTTTTGTTTTGCCAAGGCCAGTGTTGCTGCCTAAAAAAAAAAAAAGAAAAGAAAAGAAAAAAGAAAAAAATTGATGCTATAAAATGGTGAAAGCTTCTCTCTAAACAGCCCCAAGTGTTGAAGTCTTCACTTAATTTTGTTCTGTTCTGTTTTGTTTTCCTGTTTTGTTTGCAAAATAGTAAGGGGGGTGTTGGGAGGGGATGGGTGTTTTTTGTTGCAAGTTTGTGAGGGGGAAAATGTTTCGGTTTGTTTCTCCTGACCTGAATGTGTTGGATCTTCACGTGTCGTTTTGTTTTGGCTTTATTGATGCACGGATGCTTTTGAACCGTAGAGCGAAAAGCTAGACATGGAGAACTTGCTCTGTTTGTCCTTTATACATTTCTGTAGTTAACAGAACACTGTAATGTGCCTTGGAGCTTAGTAACTTGTAATAAATTCAATTGATAATTAATTCTGCCCTGAGTCAGCAAATTTGTCTTTCTAGGGCTGAGAGGGCACACCACTCCCAACTAAGGGGACAACTGTTACTTCCCACCTGGAACCAGGAATCCTGGTTCCTTTGAAGGCTCTTGGAGCAGGCTGCCCCACCCCCTGGGTACCAGACTGTTTACATTTTACCTCCCCTGTAATCTGCAGTTGCTGACTAAGCAATTTCTGTTTTACTCTTTCAGCATCTTTACCCCCCACCCCACCCCCACAAGGGACCCAGCTGCAAAAAGCATTGTCAGGAGCGCTTTCCCTGGGGCGATGAGGATACATTGATACTCAGCGCAGCTGTTACTTAACAAGTGGGAACAGAGGGAAATCTAGAAGGAACCCTATTAAGGTGCTTTGCCTCTCCACACAGGGTAAAATCTACTGTCGTTGCACACTTAAAAGGTTTCTAGCTGGGCTTTGCTTCCGTGTGTAAATGAAAACGTGACCGGCTGGCTTCCTGCTACCCCTAGCGTGTGAGCAGTCCTTGACTGCTCCCGTTTCTAAATCGGCCATGATGGACTCTAGCCCTCTGGAACTATAAGCGAAAATAAACCCTTCCTTTCAAATTAAAAAGTGTCTCGCTGGGCGTGGGGGCAGGGAAGGTTGTGAGCATCTGGGAGGCGAAAGCATGTTGATTGCAAAGCAGTTCCCACCTCATTCATTATGTCCTACCCTTTAATAAGTGCTTCTTAAGTCAGGACACTGCTGATCAGAGCAGACTTAGGGAGGTGGGGGTGGGAGGGAAAGGAAAGCAAAGGTTACTCAGGCACCAAATGGAATCCATTTTACTGGCAAAGATACTCCAGTATTAATTGGCTTTGTTGGCATTTGTGAAGTTCTGGTGGGTGGGGAAGGAGAGGACTGCACCCTCTGGGGCTCAGAGCACCACCCGCCCCCCAGCAGACACCAGACTAGCTTTTCATCCAGTTAGAGCAAGGCAAATAGTCCTGGTTTGAACCTTGTCCTTTCCTGGCGGCAGAGGACAAGAACAGGAGAGAGGAAGCAAAACACAACCGTGGTGACCCGAATTGAAATTAATTCCTAGCCACTCCCCATTCCTGGACCTAGTGAACTGACCAGATTGGACTGCCTGCCCTGCCCGTGGAGGAGGGAATGATCAGTCCTACCTGACGGGTGTCACTAGGGGCAGGAGGGCAGGGAGGTGGGAATAGGCACAGGCACACACGGGGAATTCAAATCACCAGGTAATCCTGAACACCAGTATGGAGGTTTGGTTGGTGTTGGGACTTGCTATTAATAATACCCTTTGGGTTTCTGATCCAGCTTTTGCCACCATATTGGAGTGGACACAAGAGCCCTGTGTGCCGGTGTGGGTGTGTGTGTTTGGGAATGGGGATCCATGGGGCTATTGATGGACTTGCAAGGATGCTAGATGGGAGGTGTCTGGCTCACCTCTAAGAATCTCCCTACATATAAATAGATGTTCATTCCTGTCAGCTTCCTGCAAATGTGTCCTTGGTTTTCATCTGTTGCCAAGGGTTGTATCGGTGCTTATGAGTCATGAAACCTATTTTCATCCTCAGGGGTAATTAACTGGGTGTGTGGGGGGGTGATAATGTGTAGTAGACTGTAAGAAGAGTTAATTCTAAAACCCATCCAGCGGCCAATCACTTAAAGGTCTGGGCTGCTTTTCTTACAGACTCATTAATAAAACCTAACCTGGGCAGGTTTTGCCTGGAAGATTTCTCCAAGGTGCTCCCAACCCCCACACCAAATGCGCTTCCAGCTTTTGAGCTGGGTGAGCCTCAGGGGGAAAGGTCCACTTGTGGACTCAGATGTGAGGATTGCCTGTCCCGGGGTGGATGCCATGAACAGTGTTGGTCCTGTTATCTACCTGTGCACACAAGGGCTC